GGAAAATCCATGCACAGGACAATAATCATCAGCTGGACACAGGACTGGGCATGGAATACAGAGTCCTCTCATTTTTGTGTTGTCCTAGGCAGTTCTGTGATCTTAGGCTACTTATGTTCCCTATACTTCAATTACCCTATTTGTACCCTACGCTCTTCTAGATCTCAGATTCTATAGCCTCTAGCAAGAGCTCTGATTAATCATAGCCTCAGATAAAGAGCACCCCTGAGAAAAGAGAGAAAATGTAAAGAGCAGGAACTCTCTATTGTCATCTTTAGATGTGGACTAATAAGTCCTTTCTTTCCATTCACAATTTTAGAAGGAATGAGGAGGTATCCGGAACTTTCTTCCTTTGTTTCTACCACAGATGTAGCAGAGAATCAAGTTATCTATGTTATGCGTGTGGAGAGCAAATTAGTGGACATTTAAGAGCCCAAGGCAATCATTCAAACTTTCCCATGAAAAAAAATCTGTTTTTACATCCTTGTATGTTTATTTTCTTTTAACTTTTTGACTATTTAATTATTGCATTGCCTCTTCACAGTTTCTTTCCTGCAGCTACTTTGGGGAGTAAACCTTGATAAATTAAGCCCGTTTTTATTGTTTTTATTATATTCATTTGGAGTTGTCTTTGATATTGATCAAGCTTCTCTTTGTATGCCTGCCACATGCATTCATTCTTCATTCAGATTAGAATCTAATTAAGAAAAGAAACTGCCAAGTTTGGTTTCATTTTTATGTCAACTTTATGCAGCCCTAGAAAAATCTATCTTTTGATGAGCTGGAGACAACAGTAAGTTAGAGACAGAGTTAATCCATTACACCTTGATCATTCATAGGCAACTGCACCCAAACAATTCTTTCTCTTCACATCAAGAAAGTGTGTTGTTTATCTGAGAGTTTAGTACTGTGCCTGGCACATATAAGGTTTTTAAACAACTTTCTAAAACCAATAAACTTTTTAAAACCAATGTATCTGAGTGGCTTTATAATTCAGCAGTCACTACATGAACTGTCTTACTATGTAGAAGAAAAAAATATTAGTTCAAAAAACGGGGAAAAAATAAAAGAATCCTTTGTAAACACATAAAACATGTCCTGTTCAATAGCTTCTCTAATATTTGTGGATTATTGTAACCACTTTTCACTCTTATATTTAAGGGTGTCATTCTGTATGGGGAATTGACTGTTTCAATACATAGAATTACATTTGCAGGGAACTTAAAGTTCCCAGAAAATTTTCTGAGATATTATCTGATTAATCCCCATAACAACCCTGTGATGTGGGTTGTGGAAATATGAGGGAAAAAAGGATAGGGATTTTCCTAATACCATACAGTTTGTGTGTATGATGTAGCAATAAAAGTAGAACTAATTTTTTTTCTGATAACCAGTCCAAGATATTTTCTGCTCTATAAATCTTTAACCTCTAGAATAGAACCCATCTTAATTCCCTTATTCTTGCATCGACACAGCAAAAGTTATACAGGTGCTCCAGCTCTAATTCCATCTCTGAATATTGCAGCACTATCTGTCTTACCCACCTCCTCTCTTCATTTTTGTTTCTAAAGTGTTCTCCCTGCAGGAGCTGACTCTTCCTTCTTTCTAATTAATGTTATGTGGAAACTCCTATCATAATGAAATTGCACATGTGAGTGTTCTCTCCTGGCTTTCTTCTCAGTGCACCTGGAGGGAGAAAGCTTTTCTGCAGTCTCACCAAATTATCTTTGCTAAGAGAGAAACTTATAGGAACTAAGGTAACTGCCTTCCTAAGAGTCAATCTTTTTATCAAACATTCTTTAGTTTAGGCACAGCTTTGATATTTGCAGAGGTTAACACTTGTTGACAAATAGAACTCACCGGTTCATGCTATTGGCAGCAAAGTCCTATGGAAGAGTAGTCAAAAACATGCACTTTAGAGGCAGACAAATCAGGTGTGAATCCTGGTTCTGCTATTTCCTGGGCAATTATTGGAAAGTTTAAAGGTAATTATAGATAATTTTTTACAGAGAAATGAGTTAGCAGAACATGCAATCGTCTTCATAGACTGCAGAGCAAACCTGTGTGGCACATTTGCATTTCTTCTTCATCTCCACTCTCCTCCCTGCCCTACATTGGGGGGGCTTTGTGCCCTGGAAGGCTGACCAATGAAATGTACATCTTCCTCCTTTGCCCTCCTGCTTGCTTGCCTTTGGTGAGTGGAAAGTCCTAGCAAAAGAGAGATGGAGAAAGGAAAATGAGACTGGGTGCATTTTCTTATCTCTTCCCTTTCGGGGTCACCTGAAGCTAGCTGTGTCCGAGAGAGGAACTTCACTTTTCAAGGCATCCTACTCTGTATGATGCTTTTTCCCAGGTATGGGCAACCCATCCCTCTTAGGGTAAAAACTTGGCTATTGCTAGTTCCAGGTACTGTGCCATCCTTTGAAGATTCCTCTACCATATCAACATCTCCTTAAACAGTCTCTTTGATAAACCTGCTGTACATGATCCTAATAAAAGTATGCTGTCTGTTTATTTCTGGACCTTAACTGATAGATTATTCATACTGGTTAGTGGAAAGTAGATATGTCTACAGATGTATTATTTGAGAGAGGTTAGCATTTTTAGGAGAAAAAATAAGAGTGGGCTGCTGTTGCTTGCCATTTGATACTAAGAGGAAAAGAAGGTAATGATGATGGATGATGATAAAGAAATGATGCTGCTGAGCTCCATATACCTCCTATAAGCCAAGCATTCTCCTAGACGATCCTTTTTACTTCATTTATTTTGAAAACACATATGTGTGTTCTTATCTTTCTTTTGCAGATCTGGAAAAAGTTCAGAGGGATCAAATAATGTACCTAAAAGCTATATAGAATGCCAGTGGAGAGCTGAAATTTTAAACTATGCCTACTTGGTTTGATAGCCTATGCCCTTTTACTGAAGCTAGGTGCCTCCTAGCTATACAGGCTGAGAAGAGCCATCCCATCATCAGTCAGTTTTCAACTGAATGTCTTTGCCTATTCAAATTGCTCTAAGTTCTAAATTCCTGTAGGAAAGTATCTCTTAATGATGGTCTTCAAATGATTTCAAGGCAATTTTTTTTTAAAGCTGGTTAATTCAGCAAAGCGTATCAGGTCAAATCCATTATTTGTCTGATTTGACTGATTTGTTAACTATTGAGTCACTAACCCAGTAGGGCAACGATTACATGGTTGTCCCCAAGACTACTTATTAAATGCTGGCTGAATAATTAAATATTTTGAATATTTTAAATATAATTTCTGATACTATGTAAGCTTCCCACAGCTGTTATCTAAAGTTTGTTTCTCCCTAGATATGGAATATTTTGTTCACAGTTTGTATTACTTCTAATTCTTAAATAAAATGAGTAACAGAATTCTGCATTTTCTGAGACCTGTAGGAAACTAGTTTGTAAAGGTGATTCAATTCCTCATGGTATACCAGCTGAGAACTTTCCATTTGTCAATCAGCTTCTCACTCCAAATCCTACTCCTTAAAAAAAAATCCATACACACTCAGAAACACAATATTTATCTTAGCAACTCACATTTGTGCATTTTTCTTTAATCTTCAGGCAAGCATTTCTGTCAACCTTGGATCAAGGCTTTGTCCCTTGTTTCCTTTTGAGTTCCTAAGTTGCATCTAGAGATATTCTTAACCATCGTGACCTTTATTTCTCTGTTTCTACCTCTACTTTGCTGGGGTGGGACCTCTGACCTCCCTCAAAGTATCTTCCTTTTATTTTGAGAAGACTTGAGAGAGTGACTCACATATATTCCAAACAAGTATTTTCAGCCTTTAAAAAGCTGTGTTCCCTACAGTATTCTCCACTTTCATTTTGTATGTTTTTTCAAAAAAATTATATATGGTTACTTTGTCTTTTTATCTTTTAAATGTATAACTTACACTACTTAGTACTTCAATATTTTTTGATCGTTTTGGCAGAAGCAGTTCCTTCAGACCTTGGTCACTGTTACTCTTTTCCTTAAGTCTCAGACACATGTTTTTTCTTTTTTGAGAAGCTTAGAACAAACCCAAATGATAGAACTACATGCTGCTGTTAGCATCAGCCTACACCTACAATATTAGCCTAAACCCACAATATCAGAGTGTTTGTGGTTTGACCAAGCCTTTTATCCCCTTTCCCTTACAGGAAGTTCTTTCAGCCCACATGCAAATATACCTTATACATATGTAGGTTGTGTCCAGATATAGCAGAATATCATAAATTAACACAGTATATACAGCTGTTCCATTTGTTCTTTCCTCAAAACTCAAGATGGAGAATCTCCATTGTAGTGTCTAGGAGAAAGTGAAGATTAGTTAGGTAATGAGGATATCAGTGTCATTCAAGTGGCAATTACTCTGGAATATTCCTTGAAATAACAGTTACTGCTTAACAATTATTGTTTATACTTTTTGTTTTCATCTTCTCAAGCATTCCTTATAACTATTTGGAACTAAGGGGGTAAAGAACTCACTAAATTTACTGAAGAGTCATTGGGTTGGCTTCAAGGTACTATCTATTATTGTCAGTGAAACAAGAGGCAAAGATGCAGTGGTTTAGAGGGATCTTTTCTTCAGATGTAGTTAAGATTCCTCCAGCAGCGGATCACCTTAGTGATTCTTTAGTGACAAATTGTTGAGTCCCTAGCTGTCCCAACAAGAATCAACACATATACAACTCAGTTTGCATCTTTATTTCATATACATAACTTTAGGTATGGCTACCATATCTATTTTTTTTCAGCCACTAAAATTGTAGGCTTGAATATTTAATGGAAAAACAGATGGTGCTTGAAATCTCTAACTTACATTTAACAAAAGCTGTTTTGGAAATGTTGCTTTTGTATACTTTTTTATTGCTTCAAACACAGCACCATTTTAGCCTGTTCCAATGAATTATTTAAGAATTTCTGTCCTAGTCTAAGACAGCATTTCAAAGCGCACGTGTTAATCATGTACTTGATTAAACAGTTCTTTCCTTTTCTTTCCAGCATTCCAGTTGGCTTTTGAGCGGATACTTGTTGCAGTGAGAGCATCGACACTGGAAACACTAGTGCCAATTTTAATTACTTAAAACACCACGATGAAAAGAAATACCTGTGATTTGCTTTCTCGGAGCAAAAGTGTAAGTAACTTTTGTTTTCATCTATTTTCTAAACATATGTACCTACAATATTTTACTTTTTGTTTTGGATTTTAATACTGTGCTATCATGATTCAGCTTATGGGAAACCTTTAGTTAACTTTCAGTTCTCTGACTGTACACAGCTTATCAACAAATGAAGATTTGTTTGTCTGTGTGGCCTGGTTAGCATTTGATGAGAATTATCTTTCAGCTAGTTTATACCTTACCATTCATTCATACAAGTCTAAAAGCATGATATTGAACACTCTGATTTTTGAGTGCATGCAGAAAATATATAATTAAAACTTATAATAGAAGGAATTTATGTCTTGAATAGGAAACTTTCTGGGCACTAGTCCAAAAGCATACATTAAACTTATGTCATTAAGTACTTCAGTCAGTCACATTCTGAAAGTTCTTCCCTTCCATGAAATTTCTACCGTGGCATATATCTCTAATTTCCTCTTTTAATATTCCTTTTAAACATTTTAAAGTGAACATCCTCTGTGCTCTACTAAAGGTTAAGCCTTCTTCCCAATTACTTAGTGTTCTTAAGTTACCACAGTCATGATACTTTTAAAATGTATATTAGTTTATGGAAAAAAAAAAAACAAATAGAGCATCTCAAAGAAAGCTACTCAAAGCTAGGATGAAAGCAGACTGTTATTTCCATCAAACAAGCACTAAGAACATATCCCTTTGTTCCTTTGCCCAAGGGGGATAAGGCATCTAAACAGATATTGTTGTGACGTAGGAACATTCATTTGAAGGCATCAGAAAAACCCCAAATGCAAACACATTTCTCTAATATGGGAGCATTTTGAGATATAACCAGTGATTCTATGGTGATGGCCCAAGGCCATCTTTCATTCTTTCCATTGAGTTACCATCCAGCTTTTAAGGGTGAGGCAAGAGTATGTGCAAATAAAGTATAATATGCCCAACTGGGTTTGTTAAAATATGAGGATATGCTAAGAGATATGCCAATCCTTTTACTGAATATTGTGTTTAATAACCAACCAAGAAAATTCAACAAACTCTGAGGAATTGTTCACATTTATTTGTTTTACTGGTTGGTGTTTGGTTGTATGGATTATTGCATAAAAGAATGGGCCATCGCTTTGAGCCTGGAATTCCTTTTATAATCATACAAAGTTGCTCATTGTAAGGAGGTGACCTGCATACCAATTGCCAAACTGCAATCACATCTTTCTCTTACTGAGTTTTCTTACTACAAATTAAATATGAAAGCACACTAGTCATATAATGTTTTCTTCTTTTATTGCATTTCAGAGACGTGATCTAAAAAAATACATAAAGGCAAAACGGAAAATATTTTTAATAATTACGAATATGTCATTAACCATTGCCCTCTTCTTGGAGGAAAACACTCTAAAAGCAAATGATTAACTGAGCCATGACTTTAAGGAACTGAGAGTACTAAATGCTTCTTGGAGATTTCCTATTCGTATTTGTTTGATGCAAAAAATTTTATCTTGGTGGAAAGGCTCAAGCTTTCCAGATTAAGAGAACTGAGTTGCCTACATTTGTCCAAATATAAACAGTAGAACTCTTATTTCACTACTTCTTAGCTTCTTGAAAATCCACTGGCATAAAGAAAGTGCTTCTACTTAATTAAATGACTTTAAGAAGAAGTTAATGTTTATTAGAAAAAAAGAGCCAAACTTACTGCCTAGTTAGAAGTTGTCACTTTAGGACTACAAAATTTTATTTCGCTCTGGTCTAAGCATGTTACCCCCCAACGCTTAAGATTTTGCCATAATGTAACCCAAAATTGTATACTTAGAGATAGGTGTTTCCTGTGTTTGGTGAAGAAAGTTTAAAGAATTAGTTCTCTTTAGAATCTGAGGATGTTTTTCTTTGGCATTATGACATTTGAAAATCCAAAAAAAGTTTGAAATTTAAAACAGTCAGTGTTCCTCCCTACGTGCCTCTCTGTAGGTTTGGTATCGTTCATTGTGAAAATTTAAGCCATACAAAAGAGGTGGAAAAAAAGATCATCCTTAAACAGTCACCTTATTTAGTGAATTCCTCTCATGACAGGGGTTCCAGTGTATTTTGGAAGACCATTTAGTCACTTTTCATCTCAAACAATTCAGGCATAAGATGGATGGTTAAACTAGGTGAGAGTTCTGCTTCCTACCAGTTATGAGTTTCTATGATTCTGTATCATGTTGTGCTCATTCATAAGTTGAATTGAAGACCAGTTCCCAAATAAATATAAAATCAAGGCATCAGGGGAAAGAGAGTATATTAATCAGCTTTGGCTACCATAGCAAAATACCATAACTCGGTAACTTAAGCAGAAATGTGTTTTATCATAATTTGGCAGGCTGGGAAGTTCTACATCAAAATGCCAACCAATTCTGTTCCTAATAAGCTCTCTCTTCCTGGTTTTCTCATGGCTTGTAGACAGCTACTTTTCCCCTGGGTCCTCACATGGCAGAGAAAGAAAGCAAGTTGTCTGATGCTGCTGCTTTTAAGGTCACTAATCTCCTCATTAGGGCCCCACCTTCATGACTTCATCTAATCCTAATTACTTCCCAAAGACACCACCTCCAAATACCCTCACACTGTGGGTTAGGGCTTCAACATTTATATTTCAAGGGGACACAAAAATTTGGTACATATGGGAATTTGATATTCTTAAAGGATGGATGATTAATTTTAATAAGTCTCTGTCATATTTAAGCCCAAAGGGTAGTGACCAGTATACTGGAATCTGTATGTTCTCCCAATTTGATAACACTGAAAATGATCTGGTCATCATATTTCTCTTCATTTCTTATTTTCTAAATTTTATGTTAGGGACATTCTTACTAATGATGTTTGAAGTCTAATAATCTCTTCATAGACCTAGGAGTTAGTTTTAATTTTACCAAAAAATGATTTTCTTCTTTCTTCACTATTCTTGGTTTGCTTATTTTATATTGTTTTTTCTTAATATCCAAACCAATGACACAGGTCTCTGAAGTATCTTGTCCTATCAATGGATTTACTATTCAACATTTCAGATGTTTATAAATTTCAGAACTGAGTATCTGAGTTACCCTTCTTCCCTCTGCTAATGCCTGCTTTCTTACTGGCTTTTAGATAATTAGGGGAGGGAAGGAAATGTACAGACAAGAGGAGAGGATATAACATTTTTGTTGTAATAGTATATTTTAAAATCAAGAGTTAAACAAAAATTTCAAGCCTCTTTTTTTCTTTACAATATCCCTATTATTCTCCAAACTCATGAATTTTTATGAATCTTCTCATCTGGAGAATAAACTAGATAAATTTTAATTCTTATTCATTAATGAATTTTCTTGTGTATTGAATTCTAAACTCTCTTGTAGTCTTTTGCATTAAACTCCCAATTTTCCAGTGCACTGAATCATTTTCTTCCTACCAGTTTGAATATATTCAAGATGTCATCTACTCAACCGGATTTGTAATTTTCTTGAAAAAATTGCCCTTTATTTGACTTAGGATTCATTTGGATGCTCTACATTTGGTTAAATTTGTCACTCACCAGATGTCTTTAATTGATGTTCCCTGTTCTTTTTTGAAGAATTGTTGTTTAGTCCTCATTCAAAACTGGAAGCAAGTCCTTGGTGTTTTGAAGGCACAGGGTATCTGGCACATTCTTTGCATATTGAATGTAAGGCCCACTAAATAGGTTGTCAGTTTTGAGTCCAGGAGCTAGCAGTCCATCTGGTGAAATTATTCCCAGTAGGCTCCCAAGAATTGCTTATTTTCACAGAAGACTTTAAAAATATTATTCAAACATTATAAACTAAAGTGATTTTATTCTTTTAAAAAAGGCTTTTTTTTTCCCATCTATACCTTTACATTGCTGAGTTTTTAGAAGCAATCACTTACCTAATGACCCAGGGTGCATTATTTATGCTATTTTCTCTGCATTTCAGTGTCCACCTGGAGAGGGCAGCCAAAAAATAAATTTGAAAAAGATGACACATTTTGTTATGGCACTTCAGAGCTATCCACATTCATTTTTTCTCACAATTTCTCTATAAGAATTTTTTATTCATGTGGTTAAAGTAAAATTAACAAATTTCTTCCTAGTTGGGCTTCATGTCTGCTATGTTCAACCCCACCTAAGCTATGAGGCTGACAAAGCTGTTGCAGCTTAGAATCCTATAAGGTTAAGGATGTAGAAACTGATTTTTTTTACTTGTATTCACTCAGGAGGGTCCAAAGACGGTCAGAGGTGACACTGTAGGTAAAAAAAAACCTTTGAAAAGCACAAAATACAAAACAAAATCAAGTTCCTGCTTGTGTCTTTATTCACAACAAACTGATATGAGAAGCTGTAGTGTTAGAGATTTTACTCCTTTGGTCTTTACACCTGCCTTATGCCTTATTCTCCTTTACAAATTTCTATAAATATTTACTGCATGGTTACTGTGTGTTAGGCTCTGTGTATCCAATGCAAGATACATGTTCTCTCTACCCTCGTAGAGCGTATCTAATAACTAAGTTTATTATTTTTATAATCTGTTAAAATTATTTCTCCACTCTGATCACCCAAATCTATCCCATTTTAATCTTTAATTCTTAGTAGGAAGACTGAAGTTCTGTCTCTCTCAAGTCTCTATGTACTTGCACATTATCATGTTGTTGGCACCCTGTTTAGTAGGGATATTTTGAGCTGTGAATAATGTGCCATCATTGACAATTATGCTCATTGTTGCAGAAATGTAGATTATTTCAGAGTGGGTAAAAAGAATTTTTCTCAGATAATCAACAATAGTATAAGAATAGCCAAGAATATAAATAAATGTGGGTATGACAAGAAAGATCTGAAAGAATAGGGACTGATCAGCAACCATTTGCTTTGAAATCAATCATATGTCACATGACTATTTTAGTGGCCAAAGCCAATCATTAAATTGTCATCTTGGAGAAATCTCCCCCTTTTCTTTTTCTATATTGTGATGGTTTTCTATTTCATTTTTGAAAAATTTCAAGTT